AACTGCTGGCCTTAAGGTTCGCAGCTCGATTCATAACCACTATGCTACCAGAGCTCCTTGCATATAGATATTACAAATTACTCTTTACAGAAGTTTGCATCCTTTAGTTATGTTTTCTAACCTTCATTGCTGTTGTTGTTAAGTGCCATCGAGTTGGGTCTGTCTCATAGCAACCCTTAGGGTTTCTAAGGAGCAGTTGGTGGGTTTGAACTGCCAACCTTGTGGTTCAAACTGACCTTGTGGTCCAGTACGTATCCAACAGTGCCATATCAGGACTGTTCTAATCTTCGTACTGCACCTGTTATCATCATAGTTTTTTTTTTTTTTCTTCTAATATTTATCAATTTATAGGAGAAATGGTATGCTATTAAATGTTATTAATTTATATTCCATTCCTATGATAAGACTACATTTTGCCATTTGTTGGTAAGTAATTTAAGAATTCATTTAACTTTGGCTACTTTTAGTGTATTTGTACAGATTTCCTGTTGATTTGTGAAAATGAATCTCAGTTGATGGTACTGCATCCTTCCAGTTGCTTAGGCTAAAACCTGGATTCATACTTGATATCAGATCTGTCATTGAGTCAAAGTCCAACTGTTTCTTGTCTCTTCCACTGCTAGTATCCTATTTCCCACCTTGTTCCCACGTTGTCTCCCACCTTGGCGATTGTCTTAAACTCCTGAACTAGTCAGGGCACTGCCAGGAGAGAGTTGGTACCCTTATATTAGGATAGAGCAGTTTTTAATAAAGGGGACCTTATTAATAAAGGAGAATATTGAAAGTGCCATAGGCTGCCCATAGAACCAACAGATCTGTTTTGGAAGAAGTGCAGCCAGAGTGCTCCTTGGAGAGGCTAAGATGGCCAAACTTCATCTCTCATACTTCAGACATATTGTCAGGAGGGACCAGTTGCTGGAGAAGGATATCATGTTTGATAAGGTGGATGGTCAGAGAAAAAGAGGAAGCCCCCCAGTGAGATGGATTGGCCAAGTGGCAGCA